TGCGCAAAGCGCTCCATCACGCACGATGAGCTAAGACGAGCCTCGGCGTCGTGGTCCCAGCACTCTTCCATGGTGTCGCAGAACACATTCAGACCCTGGGGAAAACAATAAAAACAATAGCAAATATTTCAGAAGTTTCCCACTAGTACTAATATAAGGTTGCACATACCGGATGGGCGCGCCAGGAGCTTAGTAGACGGGGTCGCAGCTTTTTCATCACCACACTCTCCTGGACTTCGTCCAACGTGGGCCTCTGACCCAACTCCGCTTCAAAGGGCAGCTGGAACTCGCCCACGGGTCCGGCAAAATCGCACCGGGAGACCATTTCCCAGAGCACCAGACCGCAGGCATACACGTCTATTCGCAAAAAGGCGTCGCGATTGAAGTTGATGGCACCCTCGAGCACCTCGGGGGCCATATAGCGACGGGTGCCCACTTGACCGTGTGTGTCGCCGCAGGACTTGCCCGGCTGGAAGATCATGGCCAGGCCAAAGTCCGCAATACAGGCCGTCAGATCGCTCTTAAGCAGCACGTTCTTGGACTTGAAGTCCCGATGAGCTATCGAGGGCTTGAGGCCATCTGTCTTTGAGCCAGGTATCTCCTCGTGCAGATGGGCCAAACCATTGGCCATGGACTCGGCAATGCGGCACAGTTCTGGCCATGTGATGGTGTGCGACTTGAGGTAGTCGCACAGCGATCCGTTGTGCTGGTACGTGGAGATCAGCCAGTACTCCGGCTTGTCCATGTGCTTCTCCACGCCCAGGAACTCGAGGATGTTCGGGTGGCGCATGCGCGGCAGCTTGTAGATATCGTGCTCCGTTGTCCAGGACTCCTTCTCCTGCATTCGGAAAATTTTCACGGCCACGTCTTGGCCGTGCAACTTGGCCTGCCAGACATCACCGAACCTGCCACTGGCCTTCTGTTCCAGCAGTTGAATCGGACGGTTGCTGAGCAGTGGCGACGAGTTGGTAATCTCCGCTTCGTGCTGTTATAAGAAAAACGTAGCATTAAAGAGCCAAACCGTTTGAAAGTTCAATTTGGTTTAATCGTCAGTTGTGGAAACAACGGACGACTACTTACCGAGGGTATTTCGTTAAAGTGCGCCTGCTTGCGGCGCCGATAGAAAAGCAGGGCCATGCCAACGATGACCATGAGCACACTGAAGAGGGAGGTGCAGATGTAGATGTATATCAAATTGCTGCTGTCCTGCGTCTTCTCCTTGGGCACTGCAACGACACAAGGACACACACGGGAAAGAACATTAAAGAGTGCTTTAAGAGCTGCCTTGCTTGCCACAGGTGAACAACATCTCGAGTGGCAGCGTGCACCTGCAGCTGCTGGGGTTGCTGCTACCAAAAGGCAAAACGAAAACCAAAAAACGAAAGTTCGCCCCCAATTTCGCATCTCTTTTTCCCCTCATTTTGTTTCGAGATAAAAGCAAGCTAGGCCCAAGAACAAAACGACAAAGCGCGGGGCACAAAAGACGCCCTGGCAGCACAGGGCTCCCGAAGTCAAAGGCAGCAGCAACACCCCAAAATGAAAACAGGAAAGAAGGCTAAAGGGTAGCCAACTGACTCTGGGATACCCGGTGCTAGATATTATCTTTTAAATAGTTTTTTGGCTTTCATTAGCGAAAAAATACAGTACACTTTCTTGAAGAAATTGCCATGTTTCTACAAAAAATAAAGAAACATATATAATTAATTTATCTTGCCGCTAAGCCTTATGATCAATCAATTAAAAAAAAAATTGTGGGTCTTGTAATACATTGTGAAGAAATGAAATCATTTAACAGAATCAATTAAGAAACAATTAAATAAATAATAATAATAAACATTGTTTATCTTATATGCAATTGAAGAATTAAACGACAAAAAACTTGTTTTGCCGGGTAGTCAAATTTGGTAAATACATCTTCGATCGATGAATACTTATTGCTGTTACTTCCCTTTCAGCTAACGCAATATACCCGAGAATTGAGGAGTACCTTACTATAAAAATAAAAACGAGCCAGCGAACGTGCACAGGAGGGCAGAAATTGCAACACATGCGGCTCAAAAAAGGGGGTTGCTGGGGCCTGGGGATGCAGAAAATGATGGGGGAGCGGGCGCCACTTCGCGTCGAGAGTTCGTTAACACGAAAAACGTTGCCTCGAATGGTAGGTGAGGGATTTTGTGGGCGTAGCAAAGGCCCTATTTTTTGCAACTTGAAGATGCAATAAAAAACGAGTAACAAAAACAAACAAAAAATATATGCAAACGGAAAAATAACAAAATTGGGGTAAACACTACAAAGAGTCTAAATCCCTGCCGTAGCAGCAACGTCAAAGCGAAACCACAACCGAAATTGAAACCGAACCCACCTTGCGTGGTTGCCTCTGTCGTGCTTTTAATATACTTCTGGTTGGAGTTGCAGCGCGATCCCTTGCAGCAGCAAAAGTTGATGTTTCCCTGTCGTGGCTCTGCACTGGTCACGCACTCCGTCTGATTGCACTCGTGCATGTCCGTGAAGCAGCCCTTCATCTTGATTCTCTCCTCGCCTAAACGGGAACGGGGTACGGGAAACGACGAATCAAATCAGTCAGTAGGTCTGAAAAATGGTAATTTGCTGCTCGACTTACCCGTTGTATCGTTGACCGACCAGAGGACATAGCAGCTCGGAAACTTGTCTGCCTCCAACTTGCAGTGTTCGATCCGTGTTTCACATGATTGGCTCGTGTTGCACATCTTCTCGTCAAAGTGCTCGCAGCTGATCATGCTATGCCCCTCGGGCAGGATGGATCCGTGGATCCCGAGCAGGCAGCAAGCTAATTGGAGGAAAATATGTTAATATGTTATTTTTATGTTAGTCATCTCAATTTAATGACCTCCCCAATCAGTTACACTGTTCAAAATAAATAAATCGTAAAATACACGATTGTGTTAACCTCGTTAAAGATCAAAGTTAATGGAATTATCGGTTGGAAGTGCCCAAAGGTGGGGCAAATAAAGCCGGGCCTATTTAGGGAATAGCAGTTCGAGGGATGGCGCAGGGAGAGCTCTTTGTGGGCGCTATCCTTTGTACACATATCGCATGCCCACCAGCAGGAGTTCCCATAAGCAGGACCCCAAAGCCGAAGCCTGTGCCATTGAAAGCCACCCCATTCGGGCACTGAATTAGCCCTACTGGCCACACACCAGCCTTTGAGTGGGCATGGCCCCGATGCACGGATATGCAGTGCACAGTGGGCCAGTCTTGTGTGAGCCATTTGGGTCAGTGCATAGGCTTACTTACATCAGAATGAATCGCAACACATTTTACTATTTTAGGTGCACACTACACTAATTAGCACCGGCTGAACACATTTCCAAATAATGATTCCATAATAAAGACATTTGGTAAAATATGCTTACTATTGGGTTTCGATTCCACATAATGCTATTTATAAAAGGAACAAAAAACTATATTGTATACAAATTCAATCCTTAGAAGAGATTATTAAACAAAACAAAAAACCAACATAATATTTTATTTATATTTGTGACGGTAGAAAAATATTTTTTAGTTTGTCGTTATTTTGTATCTGAAGATGTGAGTTTGAATATTAAAATATGTACTGCTGTTTAACTGGCATCTTTTCCTGGGAAGATATAATATTTTGATTACTTCTGAGAAGATCATTACTTTTTTTTAGCATCCTGTCCCACTGTCCTTTCGGTAATCGGATCGCTGGCTGTGTGTGAGTGTGTACGAAAGCGTGCATGCTTTATAGTAAAGTAGATACATAAGCAGGCACATTATGCACACAGAAAGGGATGGGTTTAAAGTGGCGCTTGTGGGGAAAAAGGAAACAACAACAACTATAGCAACAGGGAAGAGAGCGCAATGCGCCACGGAAAGAGAGAGAGGGCGAGAGCAGAAGAAAGGGAAGGAGAAGCCAGAACCTACCATACAACAAGTTCCTAATGCAGCGCAATCCATTCAAAGAAATGCTCAGCGTACACACATACAGATTGAGAGTGGGAATAGGATATCCGATTGATTAATACCCATTGTTATAGCAAACCTGCTTTAGAGGTCTCTGATAAAGTGTTTAACATGCGGATATGTAAATTTCTTAATTTTTGACAAGTTCCAACAGCATTTTGAGTATTTATTATCCGTATTTGAAAGTTTTTTGTTATCAGTGTATTGCTTTTATTATAATTGGTAATCATAGGATAAAAAGATATACCAAACCTATCCCAAAACTAATATAACCCGTATCTATTACGAGAACCATATGATATTAATAATGTAATAATACTACGCTGAAGGCTGTAGAGAATCACACACGAATGAAAGTGGAGAACCGAAAGCAGATAGTATTGGAGCGGAAAGTCGGAAAGAATTGATAGAATATAGTATTGACAATAATGGCGCCTGCAATTAAGGCGCCAATAAGTATGCACCCACACACTCTCGCACTACAATACATACCCAGCATAAGCTGCGCCGTTTGATAAAGCAGATCGTATTTAGACATTGTTATGGCTATAACTTGTTTACAGCATTCGTTGCGTATACGTAACGCGATTGTTCAGTTGTTTTAGGGCTACTGGTGGAGTATTGGTATTACTTTGGCACAGAGTTCCTGTTTCGTTCGCACTTCTACTCTCTCACTTGCACCTGCGACTGCTGCACTCTTTTTTCATGTACACTAAGTGTATATGTGTGGGTGGTCGAGTTTATGTGCGCCTCGGCAGCGAATTTGCTGGCCACACGCCGTTTGCATGCGCATTTTCCGCGGCTTTTCCTCGACTTTTCACCGCGATTCAATCACACATAACAGCGGCACAGGTGAAAGGCGATTACGTTCTGCACTTTATGGTTTTTCACAGGTCTACGGGCCTGCTTTCCAAGCGTTTTTTAAGCGAGCACGTCTTTCGGTTCTTTTTTTTGTCGCAACGGGCGGCGATAGCGGTGGTCGATTATCGATTACTGGCGAGGGCTGGAAAAACAAATACTAAACGCAGGTTTGTGGGGGCAGGTATTTTCAGGTGTACAGAGTCTGGTCTCATCAGGCAAACAATTTCTGCATTTTTCTTGGTAGGTGAGTGTGGCTGCTGGAAAATTAAACAAATAAAAGAGAAATAGAGAAGGAAATAAGTTTATTTGCATTTGAATAAAATTGGCTAAATGTAAAAGAAGTCTTTCCAACAAGACGTACTACTTTAAATGGGATTTAATCAGTTTAATTACCTGAATCTTTTTCCCCCACAAACATGGCGTCACATCACAGTAATTGCGTCTTCTCTTTTTCTTTAGCCTATTTCACGAAGAAAAGAAAATAACTGAAAAATGACTGGACGCGGCAAGGGAGGCAAAGGATTGGGAAAGGGAGGCGCCAAGCGTCATCGCAAGGTGCTCCGTGATAACATCCAGGGTATCACCAAGCCGGCTATTCGCCGATTGGCCCGTCGCGGCGGTGTAAAGCGTATTTCTGGCTTGATTTACGAGGAAACTCGCGGTGTGCTTAAGGTAAGTTAAAAAGTATTAAAAGAGTATACGTAGTTAATCCTTGGGAACAAATTCATAGGTTTTCCTTGAGAACGTTATCCGTGACGCTGTCACGTATACCGAGCACGCCAAGCGCAAAACTGTGACCGCCATGGACGTGGTCTACGCTCTCAAGCGCCAGGGACGTACCCTCTACGGTTTTGGCGGCTAAACACTACGCCCCATAACGTCTACTTAATCAATAACCATGGGGTTAACTTAACTACATTCAAATTTATTGATCGAATTGATAATTAATCAGTAGCATTCAAAACTATCTTAACCAGACGCATGTATTCTATAATTCCACAAATATACGGACTTAATAAATCCAAAATAACCGCGTAGAGACCACAAAAATGTTGATTTTTTATAGGTTTTGGGGTAAGCCTTGTAAGTCTAAATACTAATCAAGACTAAATTCAAATTAGTACCCATTAAAGCTTCCATAATAGTTCCCCAAATTGGCGGAGTAAATAAATCAAAAGTAAATGCGTAAAGAGCACATAAATGGTAAATCTTTAATGGCAATCAGTAAGCCCAATTTCTGTTTTTGTACATTATTGGCGCAGCTGGAATCCGCAGAGAGCAAGACACGTGCAAAGAGGAGGTGATTCCCATCTGTACTGGTACTGCCCGGGAGTTCTACTGGAAATTTAGCTCTCCCAGTGGGGAACCCATCGAATCTAGTTGGCCTGTTTATGGTGGTACAGCTCGTCGGAGGAGCCTGCAGAGGTGTCGCTGCTCCGGCTGCGAATGGCTGCTGGGATTTTAGATGGAGTTGGAGGTGGAGGAGGAGCAAGCCAAAGGGCTGGCCCCTAGGAGCTCGGCTCTTGGCTCTGAAGCTGCAGGGAAAGGTAAACTTCGCGCGGGGAGATTTGCCTGTGGCTGCCAGTGTTACCTGGCTCTCCACCGCCTCCCGGCTCCCCCTCACCATGGTGCTCCGCCACCGAAATGGATTCGGAGTTCTTGCGCCGCACAAAGGACTGCATGGAGGAGTACCTGGCACTGCCCCGCAACGTGGAATCCGTGGTTTCCGCCTCAAAATCCGAGTTCTCCAGCGTGACATCGGTGGAGGAGATCTCCTCGTAGTTGGACATGTACGACTCCATTTGCATCTCGTTGGCCGGCATCTGATGATTGTCTTCCGGCCGGGGTTTGTGGCGCTTTTTCCCCGGTTTGGCAGCATTCGCTTTGCGTTCCAGAGAGTTGACGTATTGCGCCACATGGCCACCATCGCCAAAGCCTCCGCCACGTTTCTGGGACAGAGCTTCGGCCAGGCTAGAGGGCTTCTGCCTCCTGTGGGATCCGTCGCCCACCCCCACCACATAGCCCTTCTCGTAGCCACGCTTCCCCGGGGCCTCTTGCTCGTAACCATAACCATAGCCCGTATCTTTCTCGCCCTCGTAACGCCGGTCCTCGTAATGCTGGCCGGGATTCACAATCGCACTGTCGCCTATGTCCGTCTCAAACTGCACTGATGAATTTAGCTTGAACTAAAGAAAGAAAAAAATATGACATGTAAATTATTAAGGTAGAAAAAATGTCTTTTGGTTTTTATTTTCAATTTTGTTAATGGGGCTTTCCTAAAATTTCTTCAAACTCCAACCAAAGCTAAAATTTCTGTGAGCACTTTAATTTCAGTCAAAAAAAAAAGACTGCCTGGCAGTAAGGTCACATATTTCCGACCCTATAAAGTTATATATTACCTATTTCCAAACTGAATGGGAAATTACTGAAATAGTTAAAGCATTTGCACAATTAATTAAATGATTAAAAAAATATTTTTAGAATTTGTTTAATGTTGCTAAGAATGAAAATAGAATTTGAAAGTTAAGATCAAAATGACTCACATCTCGCTCGTTGGCAAACTCGTGATCCGACTTGGACTCGCGATTCTTGGCGGCTGCCTCCTTGGGATTGTTCTCCACATACTTCATCTCGCTGCGCACCTTGCGCACCTGCAGTTGCTTGCGCTGCACCTGCATTTGTTGCTGGTAGTGCTGCTCCTCGGTCAAATGCTCCGCCTCGGATAGGCTCTCCTCCCCTTCCGGCGGCTCCTCCTCATACTCCTCCTCCTCCTCCTCAACTTCCTCGCGCAGACTCCTCAGCTGGTGTTCCAGTGATAGATGCTTGATCTGCATGGACGGGGATTGCTGCTGCAGTTGCTGTTCCTTCCGCAAAGTGGCCTGTTCGCTGCGTGGTGTGACCTCCGCACTGGTGACCGCACTGGTGACCGCACTGTTCACCAGCCGGTTGAAGTGCGACTGGCGATAGCTCTGGGAACTAAGGATAAAACCATTTTACTACACTCTGAGTGTACATATCTGAATATGAATCTGTATCATACCCCGGTAAAATGTGAATAAGCTCTTAAGGCTTTAATTTTGGCATCTTTTTTTAAAGGATTTAAAATTTTTTTTGTATAGGTATTTTAATTCGGTTAACAAAAAACAGATTGTGCCATTTGCTGATAAATCACAAATCACAAATCCCGAAAAAAATGTGATTTGGGCCAGCGCTTTAATGTCTGCTTATTGTTTTTTAAAGAAATTATAAGAGTTGTTATTTTAATGCTATTAACAAAAAGCTATCTATCTATAAATCTATCATATTTTTGATGTTGTTTAGTGTTATAAAAAAAAAACTGAAACTCACTCCTTGACGACCTCCTGCATGACCTCATGTCGCGCCTCGTACTCCCTGCCCGAGTGCGTTTGGGATCCTCCCTCCATGACCTTCTCCTGGACGAAGTTGCTGGAGTCAGAGCGCATTAGCTGGTGGCTGAGCTTCTCGTTGAGCTTCTCGGCCTTCTTGCGCAGTGTGCGCTCGAAGGAGAGCTGCTCCTCCAGAGCCTTGGTGTGGGACAGCAGCTGGGAAACGGTGACCTTCTTGTTCTTGGGAAGACTTTGCAGCCCGTTCACGCAGCTGAGGTCGTACTCCGGCTCCTGTTTGGCCTCGGCCGGTTCGCCCAGATGTTCCCGGATGTTGCGCTGCAGGAACTTGCTAATGCCCTCGTTGTTGCGCACACTGAACTCCGTGATCGCCGTGTTCAGCTCCAGGCAATCGAGGATCAAATTGGCTCCGATGTCCGTCAGTCCGCAATTCTCCATGTCGATTTCTGTGGGGTAATTGGAGGATGTGGACAGCACTCTGCGTATGTTACTCACTCTTTATCCAGGCATCCTCCTTCAGCACCTCGGTGATCCACCGGATGCCCTCGTCGGTGATCTCCGGATTATCCGCCAGCAGGACCGTGCGCAGTCCGCCGATCGTGTTCACATCCACGCTGCGGTAGCGCAACGACTTCTCCCAGCCCTCTGTGAAGCGAGTGATCTTTTGCATCTGGGAAAGAAAAACGCGGCTTAAATAGGTAATAAAGTTTGGCTATTAAAAAGAAGGCAAAACTAACTAACTACAAGTTATAACACCGATACGAAGAACCATTATCCTTCAACTTTTAGATAATTTAAGCAAGACAACCCCAATACATTTAGGAAATTGAATCTGAATTTAACATATTTTTCTTACTTTTTAAATTTACAAATGTAATCAATAATTCAAGTTTATTTTTCCTTTCAATTAAATTGTTTAATAATTTTAAAATTGAAGGTGAAAATTGGTAATGAAAATTTAATATTTTTAAGGTATTAAAGGAGTAGTACAAGGAAGTTAAGGAATGTCTTACCTTGAGCATATCGGCCACGTGCTCGGCTCCCTTGGACGTAAGGCCACACTCGGAGAGGTCGAAGATCTCGATGCGGTTTAGATACTTGGCCGTGTTGCAGACCACCTCGCAGCCCTTGTCGCCGATGTTGGACTTGCGAAAACTGACTGTTTCGAGGCACTCGTTGTCGGCCAGCGACTGTGGGCGGAGGTCATTTAAATGATGATATCGATTAGGATGCAACCACACAACCCACCTTTGCAATGGTCTCGATATAGCCATCATGCAGTGGTAATCCCTCCAGCTTTAGCACGTTCAGATTTTTGTTACACGAAACGCAGTTGGCAATCGCTTGGACCAGGCTGTTAAAGATGAACCGCGTGTAGATCACCGGTCGCTGGCGAAAGAGCCGCGCCCGCTTCTCAGTGTCAATGGGGTCGATGTTCGCTGTCGGTAAACCAGGGAAAGTCGGGTCAGGGTAATCGATTTGATGTGCAAGTTTAAGCAAATAACAAGTAAATAAATCCTTGCAGACCTAAAACAATAAACAGGCAAACATCCCATAAAGAACGATTGTTCATTTTACGATGTCTGCTTTAATGGGATGTCTGCTTGTTTTTGACATTTTCTGTAAAATCATTAATGATCTGAGCAACGAAAAAGTTCTATAAAAATATATATTATGCATTACTTAATAGCTGAGATATAAATAAATTATTTTTAAGGGTAATTTTTGGAAATTCCGATTGAGCAGTTTAAAACGCACTTTTAGTTCCGAGTAAAAACATTTCCTTTCCAGCACTTACTTTGTGGATAGGAGCGACGCAAGCGGACCACCAGCTGCTGGAGCACCAGGTCATAGTGCAGGGCCTCGGTGAGGAGCTGCCAGTCACTGACGGCCAACTTGTCGCCGCACAACTCCAAATAGGTGGTGGTCGAATTGGACTTGCTGCGTATGTCCGGCACGGGCGTCAGGTTCTTGGCCCGGCACAGCTCGAGATAGCGAAAATGGAACGACCGGCTCTTGCTGGACTTCTTTACCAGAGGTGGAAGCGTCACCACCACGGTATTGGTCTTTCGCGTCAGATCCGCAGGGTTGCCTTTTCGCAGCATCGTCACTCGACCCACGTACAATTACTGAAAAAGAGATTTTAGCTAAGGAGAGTAGTATATTTTGTATTAATTTATAATAATTTTAAATAAAAGAAATGAACATATTTTTCCTTGCCTTCTAGTTCTTTTTAAATTGAAAAAATATTCTTGTCAAATAAAAAAAAAATTACTAATGTATGAATGTTTATTTATATAAAAATTAACAACAACCAGAGTTATAATATAGGATGGTTAAACGTTTAGGGCTATTTTAAAATTTGATTAAACATATATGATTTAAATAGATGGTCAAAAAAATGATAACTAGTTATCCCATGGAGGGTGTACTACTTTTATTTAGACCCTTTCTGTAACCTTCAAAATTGCATAAGCCCACGCACTTCCGGCTTCCACTGGCCACTGTTGTCAATGCTTCCAGACTTCCAGTTATGATCCAGTGGAAACAAGCTTGCAAATTGTAAACAAACAAAGCTCACCCGCCACCCACTTGCCGGTGGAATTTACGGTCGGCTAATTACTCGCGTGCCTGCAGTTTCTCTCTTTCTCTCTGTCTCTCTGTATCTCTCTCTCGACCCGGCTATATCTTTCTCCCCTTCTGACCCGGCTATATCTTTCTCTCCCCACATAGGGTTGCCATGGCTTTCAATTCCACTAGAGCTACGAAGTCTCGTTAGCTTGTTTTTTGGATTCGACGTCAGTCGTTGAGCGGCTGTTGTGGCATACACTTCATTCAAAAATTGGTATTCGGTTTCGCGGAGAACTCTTAACGGTTTTCGGATTTCGAAAGTGCAAAAAGTTTTTTTCGTAAAATATTCATTCAGCCAAGAACCTAAAAAGACTGCGTGTTCTACGGCACGTTCCGTTGGCGGCTAAAAGTGTCATTAAGTGATCTTGCCCACTATGCATAGACCCCTTGCCCCTCTTTAAAGTCGAGTTCCGGTTCGTGCATTGCCCAATTTCAAAGCGTGCGACACGTTTATTTTATGCGGTTTCATCGTGTACTCCATATGTGTGCTCTGCGGGGTTCTTGACTTATGCCTAATTACCAGTGACGTCGAAGCCTTTTCGAAAAATGTGTCAGCCACGAAATTTGTCTGTTCTCTGGTAGTTGTTACGAGAAACTCGAGTGTGACACTGCTAGTTTTGGTTGGCTTCAAGTAATTACCAACAAAGTGAGCCAAAGGATACCCCATTAAAGTCGGCAAAAGGATACGCGCGCTTGAGGAAATACCTATCTTATAGGGGGTAAGTCCGCAACCGGTTTGCATTCCTGTCCTGGCATGTGGCATGCTTTAGTTTGGGGGGTTCTTTAGAGGTTTCCCTGTTTAGGGTTTGTGAGGGTGAAGGAATGAAGCTATACACCGAAAATGCACGGAATTTCAGGATCTCAGGCTAACTATAATATAGAGTTTGGCTTGGGTTGATATTAAAATAAATAAATGTTATTAAACCACGGCTAAAAAAAGTTTTACCATTTACCTTACAGAAAACAGAATCAACACATTTAAATGTGATAGAAATAAAAATAAGGTTTTTAAAAAAAAGGTTTAAAAAAAAAAGTTTTAAATATTAAAATTAAGTGAATTGGGAAACAAAAATGTATCATACTAAATTTGATAGGTAATTACTATTTTAAAATACTTTTGAAACTTTACCTAACATTTAATTAGACAATTCGCACATTGTTATTCCTTTTGGTGCATGGAAGCCTGAAGTTCAGCCCCGAAGGGTTGGCCAACTTTTTTTCTCGGCAGTAATGCAAATAAGGTCAGAGCTCGTGTCAAGGACTTGCCTGCTCTTCCAAGACCAGCCAGTCAAATAAATTGTTTAATTGCCCGAAATGTAGAAATACTTGCTAAGCAAATTCAAATAGAAAAGTGCAAAAATCGAGCCAGAAAAGGAGCCGGAGTGTAACGGACAAATTGCTCACGACACCAGCCACATCCACATCTACATCCACATCCAAAAGCCAAGATTCAGAGCTTGGCTGGAAAAGTGAGACGGATGCGGGCGTCGCTTGAACCCGGTCTATGAGTCAAAAACCAAGCCACCGCAACGGAGCAGCTCCCCTGCCCTCGCCCTCCACAACCCGCTCCTTTGTTCGCCAGCCAGCAAACAATTGTTGGCTGCTGGCGTTGAACTTGACTTGACTGTCGGAGAGCCGCACATATCGGAATCGATGGGCATGACAAAAGAGCCCTAATACGGGGGGAGGAAGTGTTCAAATTGGAGTACTCGGAACGCCAGGGGCCCGATTGTTTGCTCGCGGGCCGGAAACTGGAGGCAACATTGGTCACAACACGATCCGCACCAATCTCAATCTGCAGTAGTGCACTTAAAAAAAATTCGCTATAAAATATTGGTATGTCAGTATGTCTTTAATAGTTATAAATATTGAGTGCTGAGCAGTACATTTCTATAAAAAAAAAAGTTATTTAAAAAAAAATAGAATAGAAAAAAAATAGAAAATGAACAATAAAGGTATTAAACATTAAAAGATATACATTTTAAGTTTCACCGATTATATCTGGAAAATAACTTTTAGCTGTAAACTCTTTATTTTTAAGTCGTCTGCTTTTTTGTTATTAAAACTCCTTTACGAAATGCATATTTCCAATTCCTCAATATGATTTTACTATTTTGATTGATGGAGATTCAATTAAGCTTTCCGAGTTTTCTTTTGTTAAGATGCTTCTTAAAACTCCTAAACAAAAAGTACATACTTCATTTTTATACCCTTGCAGAGGGTATTATAATTTCAGTCAGAAGTTTGCAACGCAGTGAAGGAGACATCTCCGACCCTATAAAGTATATATATTCTTGATCAGCATCACTAGGCGAGTCGATCTAGCCATGTCCGTCTGTCCGTCTGTCCGTCCGTCTGTCAGTCTGTCCGTCTGTCCGTCTGTCCGTCCGTTTATATGCAAACTAGTCTCTCAGTTTTAAAGCTATCTGCATGAAACTTTCCCAAAAGTTGTCTTTCTATTGCAGGTAGTATATAAGTCGGAACGAGCCGGATCGGACGACTATAGCATATAGCTCCCATAGGAACAATCGGAAAAATAAATGAAAAAAATTATAACTTTGCTGTTTTTAAATTTTTTTTTTAGTTCTTCGACATATAGCAATGGTTAAATATTTCAGAATTATGGTTTAAATTTCATCAAAATCGGACGACTATAGCATATAGCTCCCATAGGAACAATCGGAAAAATAATTGAAAAAAATTATAACTTTGCTGTTTTTTAATTTTTTGTTTTGTTCTTCGACATAAAACAATGGTTAAATATTTCAGAATTATGGTAAAAATTTCATCAAAATCGGACGACTATAGCATATAGCTCCCATAGGAACAATCGGAAAAATAAATGAAAAAAAATTATAACTTTTCTGTTTTTTAATTTTTTGTTTAGTTCTTCGACATTTAGTAATGGTTAAATATTTCCAATTTACGGTTTAAGTTTCATCAAAGTCGGACGACTATATCATATAGCTCCCATAGGAACAATAAAAATATATAAAATAACTATCAAATAATTGAGCTGCAAATCATCACAGCTTCAATGTTTTTAAACGTATACGCAAGTAAATTATAATTTCAATGTTTTCAAAAATGTTTAATTCTTGCAATAGCTGCAAGGGTATATGAACTTCGGCTTGCCGAAGTTTGCTTTCTTTCTTGTATAATATGTATTTAAGACAAGATGTTTGATTTCCGACTTGAAGGTCGATGTTTTTTCGAGTGTTTATACATATGTGTGACTGCCACTCTCGACCGGGCTTAACATATTTAATATAATTAAGTGAGCCCCTGCCTGGCTTGGAAAGTCATGAACCGGCGATTACTGGGGCTGGTATGAGGCGGAGAAAGAGTTTGGGGAACTTGTCGCAGCGGCAGACAAATCAAAATTGTTTATTGGGATTTTCATTTCGGAGGCGATTACCTGGGAGCCATCAGTTTTGTTATGCGGTTAGCCCAAAAGCCACAAGAGTCGGTGCGGTGGCCATTGGATACCGCGTACGTTGGACAGTTTTCGTAAAGGATTTCACTTTTGGCCCACTGGGACCGGGTCAGAACTTGCCAAGCGTGAACCCTGCGACCAGAGTCATTAGCACCGAAGTTCGCTCGGATTCGGATTGAGATACATGTGTATCTCCAGGTCGGAGATGTATCTGAACTGCGGAAAGGGGCCGTCGTCATGGTGGCTGCGCCAAGTGTTTTGTTTGACTTTTCGGCAACTCCTCGGCCACTTCTGCCACTTTCCACTTACGTAAATCTGGGGAAAATGGCAGACCCTCTGACTGACTTTGCCGATCTTGCCGAGGCGGCGTAACTTATTAATTTGCCTTAATTCGGTGGGTTTTAGCTGTGTGGAAAATTGGCTGCAGGAAAACCCCACATGCGGAGCTAAATGGAGTGGGTGGAAGTGGGTCTGCCCCTAATGGAGTTAATTAAACTAAATGCGATTTTGAATGGTCCCATTTGGAGGGAACTGATAGACCGCCCAGGCATTAGGCAAAATAAAATGTATGTTTTAGCTTCCTCAAGTTGTATGGTGTATTAAACAGATTGCTTCAATAATTTCTCTTTTCATCTTTTGATTTTATTTATACATTTATGTATTCAATTTCCTATAGAATAAAGTATAAAGTAATTTTTATTTTGAGCACTTCTTGGAAAATACTTTTTAATAAAAATCTGATTAAATTGATTTTTAATAGCTTAGCGCGCTTAAATAGGTTTTCAAATTTAAAGTTTTATTGTAATTTGTCACATTTATATTGATACCTTAACTATAGTTAGTTGTTGCCAGACTGGAATTATTACTGTTTAATTAGACATACTGACATATCTTTACTCAAAGTCGCCTATTGAAACGGTTTGAAATACACATGAACAATATCTGCAAGTACACAATAACATAAATCATGAATCATGAATATTTAAATAGCGAGTACAGAGTTCTATCCACTCCGATGGGGATCCACCTCACACCACACCCAGAGTGAGTATCGACAGCTTTGATAGCCCCGATTCGGCTGGACTGAGGCAGTGCAGCATGAAATTGCCTGCCCAGCAGAGCATCCCCATCATCCCTGCAGCGCCCAACTGACCAAACAACCCAATTGCCGTCGGTACACAAACGCGCTGGCCACGGATGCATGGATAATTGTCGGTGGAGATTCGAAGAGAAGCAGAAGCAGCCGCCCAAAAGTGGAAAATGCCGCAGAAACTCGGATACTACTATGAAAATGTTGCATGCGGCGCGTGTTGAAAGCGAAATCAGGCGCGGATTGTGATTACTTTTGAATCACTTAACCGTGATCAGTTAAGGCGACTCTCTAACGACCTTGCCGCTTGATTTTCCCGCGACAACGATGTTGATTTGATGCAACCTGCCGCAGGTAATGAGCGATCCCAGAGATACACAAATCAATTACCGCCGCCGCAGGCATTTACGATTAGCTGGAGGTGATTAAGAAATAGCCAAGGCAATTGCGAAATCAATGAACCACACTTGGCAAATCTCGCCGATCTCCGGCTCCGATTGCAAATGAGCCTAACCGAGTTGAACCCGCGAACAATGGCATTAATAATGCACATGTATCTGCAGCTGACAGATGCAGTCATCGCTCTACAAAAGCATTTTTCACACGCACCCCCTGTGAAAATTTAGGATGGCCAAAGGGTATTTTTGTTTCATGAGCTTCAAATGTGAAGCAACTTCGTTAAAAATTTCGCTAATGCGGTTTTTCTCATATCATCTTTCAAAGACAACTTTCAATTTTCACTCCACTCGAGCGAGAACTTATCCGCAATTTGTTTGGCAATTCGCAATGAGACAAATCTGGCACATGAATAAGCCAAAGTAGTAATAATTGCCGGGCAGTTTAGAAAACGTTCCGGTCGTTAAGCCTCGTACAAAATAACAGAAAACTAAAGCAGCCGCAAAACCCATAAAATTTCTTCAGCGAAATTCCAGGCTGGCGCTGAGCCAGCATTTAAAGTAAACTGAAATAAAGCCAATAAAGAGCTGACGCTTAATTAATTTGCGCATAAAACTTTCGCAAAGATCTGCTGGCCAATTCTCACGCAGAACATATGGACATTTAGAACGGACAGACGGCCACCTGCAACACGCAGACTGCGAGTCCAGTTCCATTCGGGTATTGAGAAATCTACGACCTAATTGAGTTCTTTTCTTTTTTATTTTGGTCATGTGGTAACAGCAGAACGGGCACAGAACTCCATGTAGATTCTCCACTTTGAGTTACCTTCTCGAGCGCAACTGCCGGCGGGTCATAGATCACGGCCCATAAAACGTGCGACACACGGGGAAAATGGGTTAACACTTCTCTTCTTTCTCTGTCGTAACACACTCTGCCTATTTTCTAGGTGTCAATCCAGTCTACCTGTCATGTGCAAGTGGCCCTAACCAGTAATCCCCTGGTGCTACTCACAACCCATCACAATGTACAACGAACCACAGTCGCAGTCGAGGGACCATGGCAGCATGGACTACAAGAAGGTGCGCTTAAAAGGAGAGCCTACCCGAAAATCACCTAGATATAAGACAAGCTGCATCACCTGCATCCAAGTCATAATACTCACCACACTAATCAGCTTGGTTGCCTCAAATCGCCCGCCGCGTTTCGCTATCGACGGGCAGTCCGAGATCGTTCTGCGCCTCAAGGAGAGTCCTGAAACGAAAGTGGGTGAGTGCCAGAGCATTTATCATGGACTAGAAATAACTAATCAAAGCAATATAGGCATACAAAGATTTTCCTCTACTGTTTGCTTATTTTCATAATTCCATTAAATTACAAAGATACTAACCAAACTACCTTCTGAAAATAGCATTTTAATTTAAATACTCACAAATTGAAATCATCAGCGATAAAACTTATTTAAAGATAAACTCAGTCCGATACGGAATAATGTGACTCATTTTTAAATTTCTTGAACTGAACTTTCTTTAATCTGTTGTACAAAACAATATCCGAAATTCGTTGATATCAAAAATAATAAAGTGACATGTTTTAAAGTTTAATGATTATCAAATATATATTTTTGCTTATCTTCTTAATGTGTAGCATGGTTTTAAAATAACTAGCTTTAATCGGCACAAAAGTCGTACTGTACCTAGGGGAAGTGACCAATTTATTGTTGCAATTCTTTAGAAATGATATAAGAAAAGCGTATCTTAACCGAAAATGTTTGGTATTCTTTTACCATTTAGGAACCCTGATATACACGCTAAAGGGCTACGATCCGGATAACGATCCGCTGACCTTTGGCAAGCGCAACTCGCACGACAGCGAGATCATCCGGATAGAGAATACGGGTGGAAATGAGGCGAAGGTCTTTTTGGCCAAGGAGCTGGATCGCGAGCTGCAGGACGAGTATGCCATAGTGCTGACACTGACCGACAGTCACTACAGCGATCACAACTATGTGACGCAGAGCTTTTTGCTCCTGGTCGAGGACATTAACGACAATGTGCCCAGTTTTCTGCCCTATCAAAATGCCATCGAAATACCGGAGGGCAGTGCTCCTAGTGTGGTCACCACTCTGGAGGCCACGGATGCGGACGAGGGAGCCTACGGCCAGGTAGTTTATTACCTGCAAGAACTGGATGGCGACAACGATGTGTTCTCCATAGCCACCCATCAGGGTAAGGGCATCTTGAGGCTGCAAAAGGAGCTGGACTACGAGAAGAAGAGTCTGTATCAGCTGAGGGTTCTGGCCATCGACCGAGCCAATCAAGGGCCAGTGAATACGGGAACGGCTGCCATTCTGGTCAAGGTAAGGGATCTGGAGGATCAGCCACCAGAGTTCGTGGAAGTCCAAGCAGTGGCCCGAATCGCCGAAGATGCCCCGGTGGGCACCAAAGTTCTGCGAGTCCGCGCCATCGACGGAGATCGTGGAATCAATAACCCCATTGCTTATGCTCTGGAGGCCAACGATCTCTTTGACATAAATCCGCACACAGGAATAGTTCAGACGTTAACTAAACTAGATCGCGAGGAGCAGAGTGATCAGGTGAATGGAGCTCACATACTGCGTATTTCGGCCACCGAGTTATCCAAATCGAATACCCAAATGGCACCCACAACAGTTCGCACTGAAGTGACGGTCATAGTGAGCGATGTAAACGATGAGATACCCACTTTCGGAGAGACCGTGTATCGTTGTGAGGTAAACGAGAACGCCCAAACGAACACCCCGCTTAATTTTATCGATGAGGAAGTTCAAAACGTGGTCTTTGATCACGATGAGGGCAACAATGGCACCTTTCGCTTGTTCTTGGATCCGCCCAACGATCTGTTCGAGATTGTACCTGAGCTGGCGGTTAATGAGGCCAACTTTATGCTGCGGGTGAAGAACTCAAAGTCTTTGGATTTTGAACAGTTCACCGAAGTCAATTTTACGATATTTGCTAGGGAGGTCGATGAGCCCAGTCGATGGAGGTAAATTTTTTAAATTATCGAAATTTTTGATTTCTAATTCTAATCTATACCGTCTTTTTTAGTTCCGCTCATGTCCAGATATTTATTCGAGATCAAAACGACAACTTTCCCGAGTTCACTCAGACGATCTACAATGCAAGTGTGTTGGAGAACAGCGATCAGGACACGATTATTACCCATGTGCAGGCGGTGGATGTAGATTCGGGGGATTTTGGAACAATGGGAATACGATACACAAATCTAAGAGGCGGCATTGCTCACTTGTAAGTTATTCACAAAATAATAGACCTATATCAGTGGTCGCCCTACCTAGTAAACATAGGGTGTTAGTCTGCCGGCGCTCTGCCAACTCACTTCCTTTCCTTTTTCGTAGACTCAATCTCAACCCAATAACCGGAGTAATAACTATCAAGCAGGCGGGTGGATCTGCCTTTGACCGTGAGATAATTTCCCGGCATTATCTCACTGTTGAAGCCATCGATAGTGCCGGTCAGGGCAACAGAAATACGGCCCAAATAATAATAGACATCCTGGATGTGAACGACAACGCACCCACATTTCCACAGCGACAATACGAAACGAAGTTGCTGGAGAACCAGCCGGAGTTCGAGACTCCTTTGCAGTTGGAGGCCCGGGATGCGGATCTGATTGGCACGGAAAACAGCCAGGTGACCTACGAGATTGTCGAGGGCATGTACCGCTCGAACTTCACCATAGATCCGCAAAGCGGACTACTGCGACCGGTGCACAGCTTTGATTTTGAGGAGCTGGTGGAACGGAGCAGTCGCCGAGGTGATAGTGATCCTCAGGCGGGAGGATCTCCAAGCATTCGAGAGATCGATCTACTGGTGCGAGCTCGCGATTCCGGTATTCCCATGCTCTCCACGGTGGTTCCGGTTCTAATTTACGTGCAGGATGTGAACGACAATGCGCCGATCTTCCAGCGCAGCTTCTACGCGAAAACGGTACCCGAGGATCTGCCAGGTGGGAGTTCCGTGCTGCAGGTGACGGCCATAGATGGCGATGGATCCACGCCCAACAATGCCGTGGTCTATCGCATCCAGACGGGTGCCGGCGACAAGTTTATCATCAACTCGGAAACGGGCGTTATTTCGGTGGCACAGGGAGCCAATCTAGATCCGGATCTTACAGACAGCAAGCGATCGCTTTATACCCTGTCAGTGGTGAGTTCACAAGGGTTCTTTTCAGTATTATATCATAAAAATTTTCCATGTCTTTCATGCTTTACAGATCGCTCTTGATGGCGGTTTGGGCAACTCCCAGCTAATGACCACTTGTACGGTGAACATTAGCATTCAGGATGTGAACAACAAGCCTCCTGTATTGACCGAAATGCCCGCATTGAAAATTGTAGAGAACACACCTGTGGGCACACTGGTGTATCGTATCCAGGCCACGGACTTGGATCAGAAAGCCATCCTGCGATACAAACTGAACCCAGAACACTGCGAGGGTCGCAGTGAGGAGGGGGCCTTGGTGAAAAGTACCGAGTACGACTTCCTGGGCGCCTTTGAGGTGGACCCCATCGAGGGATCCCTCAAAGTGGTCAAGCTGTTGGATCGCGAAAGGGTGGAGCACATTAAATTGGCCATCACAGTGGAGGATTTGGCAGCATTCAAGGGCAGGCAGATTGCTGAAGGTGGGTTCACTCACTTTTCAAAAAATTTTTAATTGCTTACTTTCTAACTATTTACCTTTCTAGGTTTCCTTAGCATTCAAGTGCTGGATGAGAACGATAATAACCCGAAATTCCGTCTGCCCTTCTACCGGCAATCGATCACGGAGAACAGCATCAACGGAGCAATGATTGTGAATGTCTTGGCCTCAGATGTGGATAGGAATCGCACCATCACCTATGCTTTGGAGGGCAATCCAACCTACCGATCGCTGATGCACCTGGACTCACAAACGGGCGAGATTGTGGTGGCCAGCAAGATCGATCACGAGCAGTATCAGTGGCTCAACTTCAGTGTGCGGGCCACGGACTCCGGCCTGCCAGCGAGATCCTCTCTGGTGGATGTGTATGTAACAGTGCTGGATGAGAACGACAACAATCCCTACTTTGTGGGTGGCAGCAAGAACTATACGATCAGTGAAAACGCAGCTCCAGGAACAAGGGTTGCTACTTTGCAGGCTGGCGATGCGGACTCGGGAGACTTTGGCAAGATCACCTTCTTGATGGATCGCATCAGTTCGCAGGGAAAGTTCACCATAGATGCGGACACGGGCGTGCTAACGGTGGCCGATCGCCTGGACAGGGAATCCAAGGACTCCTACAACCTGGTTATCGAGGCCTGGGATAACTATCAGTTTGGTTTCCTGGCCGGAGAAAGTCGAAATGCCTTCAAACAGGTCTTGTAAGTAAATAATCTGTTCTGTTCATTTTAAAGTATTACTCTACTTAAACCATTTAGCATTTCCATACTGGATGAAAACGATAATCCGCCGGAAGTGAGTCTGCCTAATAGTTGTGTCCTTATCACGGAGTACCACGAGTTGCATGAACGAGTGGCGAATATAGTGGGCAAAGATGCAGATGACCCAACTACGCCAAACGGTAGACTGGATTTTGCCATCACCCAAGGCAACAAAGATGGTAAGGTGTTTGGTTCTCCTTCATTTTATTTAGTACAAATACCAAATATTCCCTATTTTATTTAAGGTATGTTTGAGCTGCGGCAGCTAGACGCTTGGAATGCCCAAATCTTCGCCAGCAAGAGTCTTCGAAATAGGTTTGGAAACTATAGCCTAACTATAACCACCCAGGACATGGGCCTTCCAGCGAATATTGTACACAGCACTCTGGACATTTGTGTATCGGATTTCAATGATCATGCTCCGGTTTTTGTAAGGCCACTTCATAACACAACCGTTCGGATACCGGAGAACGCCACTGTTGGAACTCTGATACTGCAGGCTTATGCCAGCGATGCCGACATGGGTCAGAACGCTCTAGTGAGATATCGCCTCAAACCCGATTCCTTTGGCAGTTACAAGATGTTTGAGGTGAACCCTAATACAGGAGAGCTCTTTCTGAGGGAGCCACTGAACCGTGAAAAGCAAAAGATTCATGAGGTAAGGCTTTAGACCCTTTTAAAGCAAGCAATTTAAATTTGTAAACATTTGTGCATTTCCTTTACAGATCCGTATTGAAGCCTACGATCAGGGTTTGCCCACTTCGCTGAGCTCGGACTTGGACCTTACCATCTATGTGCGGAATGTAAACGATTACGAGCCGCAATTCATAGTCAACGAAATATCCGTGACCTTCACGGAGCACTCAGATCCAGGGGCCGAAAGGATTAAGCTACCCGACACCATAGACAAGGATCAATTGGAACTGGACGATCCGAACGAGACGCCCAGTCAGGTGTGCTACTTTATTGTGAACGGAAATGAGGCGGGATATTTTCGACTGGACCCTGAGACCCACATACTGACTGTCGATCGCGAACTAGATCGCGAAGTGGTGGCCAACTTTACGCTTTATGTGAGGGCCACGGAGAACTGTGGGAACGATTCTTTATCCGGCGGCGAAAAACGTCGTCGCTTGGGTATCGAGATCAACAATAGAGTGGGTGGCTTTCTGCACAATCAACAGACTGGTTACGATCGTTTTAAACACTCCCGACAATTGAGATCGGCGGAGAGCAATGAGTACGAACCGGAGGATGGAGAGATGGTATCGTATGAGACCTATGACAGCAGTCAGGAGAATCACTCTGGAGGATCAGCTCCTTCCAAACCGGAATTAGATAGCACTGTGGTGAAAGTCAAGGTGCGAGTATTGGATATCAATGATAATCCGCCGCGATTCCGTTCCAAAATCTTCACTGGTGGAATCACGACGAATGCTGACTTTGGTTTGAAATTCATGCGCGTTGAAGCCACCGATGCAGATGAAGGGGCAAATGGCAAGATTGGATACTTCCAAATGGGTGAAATCCGCCAGACTCTGTCCGAAGGATTGGAGAATGTGCGCAAGGCTCCGTTCCTTATCGATCAGGAAACTGGAGATGTCCAGCTCAACTTTGACCCCCAGAAGGGTATGAAAGGGTATTTCGATTTCGTGGTCTTGGCCAACGACACATCGGGCATGAGGGATGTGGCCCATGTGTTCATCTACTTGTTAAGAGAGGACCAGAAGGTGCGCATTGTGTTCCGACTGCAGCCAGATGAACTGCGATCTCGAGTGGACTCTTTTAGAGAGTAAGTAAACCCATCAATACTAACTATACGACTTTATAAGATTATTTTCTTTTCCCCTAGCACCCTGGGAAACATCACAGAATCTATTGTCAACATAGATGAGATTAAGGTTCATGAGAACCAGGACGGTTCGGTGGACAAAACAAAGACGGATCTGTACATGCATCTAGTCGAGCGCGAGGACAACTCCATCTACGAGGTATCCGAAGTGCTCAAGCTGATCGACTCGCACATCGAAAGCCTGGACGGGCTATTTAAGGAGCTCAATGTACTGGACACTCAGGCGGCGGAGGCACAGCTCCTGACCGCAGGACCCACCCGAGGTCCTTTGTTTGTCTGGCTGGTCTTCACCAACCTATTCCTGGCCACGTTGTTGGTGGTCACTATCGCACTTTGTGCCTCCCAAAGGAACGGATACCGCAGGCAGCTGAGAGCCGCCAAAGTCAATATATTCCGTAAGAAATTGTTATGATGTTCACCTTCTTGCAGAACTAAAACCCCGAAAAACAAACATTTTAGGTGGCAACTCTTCAATGTCCCTGCAACACGCGCAGGAGCCCGCCACTCGTGTGCCGAATACAAACAAGCACAGCGTCCAAGGATCAAACCCCATTTGGCTTAAGGGCTACGACAACGAGTGGTTCAAATCAGAAGAAACTGGCAGGTGCGATTAAAAAGAACGCCCTTTTTCAGTAATGTCAAACACATCTGAATGCAAACATTTTTAAATCCTTAGCATTGGAGGCCACGACTCGCTGGATGATAACTTCCTGGCAGTGGCCACGCAGGACATGCACGAAACCCTAAAGGGCACCGCCAAACTTTTCAACAACAGCAACGATCTGAATCGACACTTTAACCTGTATAACCAAATCGACAAGCTGACAAACAATGCTCAAATCCTGGCCAGGAAACTGGAGACCACGGAATTATAGCACCAACAGTCCACATTATTTATTGTACTTAGATTAGGCTTAGGTTAAGAGTAAGATCATCCCGTAGGACCCATGTATATATATCGAAGTGTTTGAAGCTCAAAAACAGTTTTAGTCCTGTTATGTCCTACTACTTGCGAATTCGTACAAATTAAGGAAATAAATACAACTATATCAGATAAATCAATACTTCATTTTACATTTAGGAAGTTTTTTTAATTGTATATTTCATTAGATAAACCTATTTACTCGAGCTTAGTTTTTACTTTTATCATATATTCGATGAAAATAATTAAAATATTGAGTACTAATTGCGTCCTCGCAGTACCGATTTTCTAATTTTGAACACGATAATCAAAATTGCTTTTGAATCTTCTTGTTCTAAAGTGTTCGCAATGGAAAAAAAAATCATTTTTATTAATTGAAAATAACAAATGTGTTGTAAGACATGCTTGTTCCTCATCGTCTGAAGAATTCGCGACATTTTATTTTAAAGTTACATATGAAGCGCTTTAAATAGTTCAAACTAACAAATACTTTATCGTGGCCTATATACTAATTTTTCTTGTTCACGATTTTTTTTGTTGTAATGATTATGATTTGTGTATATTAAAGTCTTTAAAATAACTTAATTGAAATAACAGATGGTAAACTCACTTTGATTGAGGTCCTTAGATAGAAAACAGTGGGCAGTATTTCTTTTCAGCAATGATGATATAAAAAATATACGTATACAGCACAACTGGAGGAAAGGAGCCCGTTAGGAGGAAAATTATGAGGAGCGTGTGGCGCCCACTTACCCCGCTTTGGTATCCCCGTGTCACCGCTCTCAAAACTGGCGGCAGCTTACAAACGTACAAAAAAAGAGACTAATCGGGGAGACGGCAGCTCTGATCGGCATTTGTATACATTACAACCGAAAGCAAACGACACGCCTGCTGATATACTTATAGAATTATAATCGCTGATTTAGGATATAGGATATAGTGCCACCACTCACCTTGGCAAACTGGGAAGATCCGGACAGGATCTGGGGCTCAGATGCGCTCGGATGAATGCCTTTGGTGCCTTGATTTGATTTGATTTGATTTGATTTGATTGGATTGTTGGTTGGTGGTCGAGCAAGGAACACAAAATAGAGAACAATAATTTTCAATGTAAGCTCTGAATTTAAAGCTGGTCGACCGCAAATCGACGAAATGCACTGAAAGAAACCTGGAGAGGATTGGCTGGTTTCTCAATCGGCGGTGCTGCAGATGTTTTTGTATTTTGTTTACGAGAATTACTCGGAGTATGTGTCAAGGCTAACGAACTGTTTAATAGAAGAAAATTATGTTGTTAAACGAATGTGAGGCTCTGATTGTCTGGCCACCGCCTGCCAAGATACCCGGTCCCAGTTATCAGTTTATCGGCCTATTTTCCCATACCGGTTCCCCAATGACAAGCCTGGGTGCTTTGGTTTTTTTACTAAAAATATTGTATTATATTTTCAGGGTAAAATATTCAGTTGCCATAAAATCAATCAATTCTTTTTTCATTTGCTTCGATTTGTTTTATTTTTTTTGTTTCATTTTCTTAAAGTATTTTGTTTCTTTTTTTTTCGTTTATAATAGTTACACAAATTAGATCACAAAAATGCACGTAAATTACAAAATGAAATTGTACCTCATACCGAAAAACATAGAAAAAACTTTAAATGTTGGAAACGAGGCGGGCTTCTGGAGGGATGCGGGGGTGTAGGTTCATCGCTACAGTTCTTACAAATTAAGTGTCGTAAAAAATAGGGTTTAAAGCATATAATCAAATACATGGTTTCGTAGTTTCGCTACTAAAAAAAATATAAATTTTGTTCGCGTCACTTGCACAGCGAAGTAGATCAGAGTAAAGTGCGGGCCAACTTGTTCAGTTACTAACCCAGTAATCGGTAATCAATAAACTCAAGAACAAATTCATACAATTATATCTAGATAGGGTTTAGAGATAGAGAGTGAGAGTGTGGGAGTTAATCATATATCATATATTACAGAGTTCCATTATGTTTAAAGTAGTTCTTTCTGCTCCTTTAATTTTTTCCGCACGGCCCAAACGAAAATCCCTATAAAAGATGCCGGTGCTCGAGAGAGTGCGATGGGTGCTTCAACATAATGCAAAGTCGATGCGTGATACATATACAAATACATAGTTATCTAGTGTTATTAAACGTTTTTAATTCATTTAATACTTGCTTAGATGCCAGGTGACAGATGAGAAATGAAAACTTACAATGGATGGGAATGGAATGGTTGGGGTCTGAACTTTTTAGTGGGCGTTGATTTTGGGATCGGGCTCCAGGGAGTGGTATATATCGTATTTTAAAGCGTAACAGTTTTCTTGCTTGTTTTGTGTTTTGTTGTATAAATATATCTCGGTTTATATGTGTTTGTTTGTCACTAGACTAAAGAAAATTACATTTCATTTATATTCTATTTAATATTTGTTAATTTACAGAATCTAGATAGACAAACGCAAGGTAAAAACTCAAAAGTTGTCGGTCAGCCTAATTTTGCTTTTAAAATGTTTTAGGCTAAATTAAAATCGAACAAAGTTTCCGGCCATAGCGCAATGGCTAAATAAAAGAGCTTAAAATTAAATCAAGTATACACTTTTACATTCTGTTGATTTTTTTGTTGTTGATTTTTCTCTTCTTTGTTTGTGGGTTGGTTTAAATTAAAGCTTACACTTAAACGTATGTGTACAGATATATTTAAGTAGTATTATGTATATATAGTTATATTTTATATATAAGTATATATAGTTGTATATATATTTAGTAATACGATTCGCGGTTTCAAACTAGTCCCTTGTACGTTGTATGTGTGTGTGTAGGTGTTGGTGTGTGTGTATTAGTGTTAGTGTTATGTGCAAACCAGGAACAAGCCAAACAAAAATTCTTCTGCTTCTCTTGTTTTCTCAAAACTGATTGCAATTCTGGTTTGAGTGTAAGGTGTGCTTGTTGTAAATGCGCTCACAAAATGTTTAATCAAATTCTAAGCTTACTTAGGTTAACGAACTCTTCAATGTATCGCGTTCGTGCATTTAATTCAGAATTCAAATTTGTTGCTAGATTTCCTACTATTTCGGTTTCATTTTTTCTGTTTGCTCTGGTGTATTTCTATCGTTTTTCGTTTATATGTATAATAAAGCTGCTCTCTACAATCCTTTGTTGGTTCACTAACAATTTAAGTTACGTTTAGAGTAATGTAATGCAACAGTTTCCCGCGAATTTACATATTTATGTTTCTGTGTATCGTAACATATACATTTACTTCTTATTGTTGTTTCTTTTACTTGAATTAAATATTTTTGGACATTTTTTTCAAATTTTTGTAATTTTTGTAATTTTTTTTTTTAGGTTTTTCACATTAATGCATAACTATATATTAGCAGCATATAGAAGATTGTGCCGAACCAGAATCGCAGGTGAAAAATTGCCAAAAAGAAAATACCGAAACTCTTAGCGAAAGCTGCCCGAAAGTGAAAGGGAAATTTAGATTGCAAAATCTCTTTCAGTGAACTCTGTAGGCCCTAGATCCGACCTGATGCCGGAATTAGGTCTGCACCAAGCCCCGGATGTCGGAGGCGCCGTTGCTGCTGCTATTGCCGCCACCGCTGCTGCTGTCCACGAACAGTGTGGCGGCATCGATGCCGGACGTGTTCGGTGAGTGCATCACGGCATCGGCCAGCAGATCGTCGCCCACGTCCAGGAAATCGTTAAGAAAGGCGCTGTCCGCCGAGCCGCCGATCGTCTGCTGCAGACACTTGAGGTTCTTATCGGCGATCTCCAGTGCCCGGTCCATGGCCTCGCACTCGGCTTGTTGCACTGCATCGGCACAGGTCCAAGGCGAGGGCAATGGCGATGGCAATTGCGGTGGCGATGGCGGTGGCGGTGGCAGCGGAGGCACACATGGATTAGTACAATGAAAAGCTGAACAAGTAAAATTGTGGTAAAATACACACCGGATTGGAACAGCTCGTTGAAGGCATCGTCCGGCAGCGTGTCGAACACATTTACCAGATCGTGCTCCTCCAGCAAGTGCGCTCCATTCAATGCTATGTCATCTGAAAGAGAAAAAAACACGATTAGAATTCTGGATAAATAGTACACTTGGAAGCTTAATTGTCTCGGTAAATGCAAAGCTCAAAGCTTTTAGCTATTGTTATGCAGTTGTTATTAAAAGACAGTCGGGTTGAAAACTTACCAGCATCGTTAGCGCCTATCAGCTCCGACTCGCTGAGTCCGCCCAGGCCGGTGTCCTCGGAACTGGCGTACGCCGAGCTGTTCTCGCAAATGCCGAACATGTCCTGGCCGAGCAGATCCGCCGTGTTGGCCAGGACAGCGGGAGCTGCGTGGCCATTGTGCGTGATTGTGTTTGTTGGCTGGCCCATGGCGTTGCCAAAGGCCGTGTTGAATGAGGGGAAACTGTGCTGGTTATTGTTATTGTTATTGTTGTTGTGGTTGCTATAGTTCATATTATTATTATTGTTAAAGTGCACACTATTGTTGTTGTTGTTGTTGTTGTGATTGCTACAGTTGTTATTGTTGTGCTGGGGCAAGTCGCCACTGGCAGCTGCCAACTGGGCGACTATTTGGCTAATCTCCTCTGCTTTGATATTGGCATTGGACAACAAATTAAGACCCGGATCCAAGTGTTGCTGCTGCGGCTGCTCGGTCTCGAATTTAAACAACGAATCCACCTCCAACTTGGGCACCAAGAGCGGCTCAAGCAGCTGCTTGGGCTGAAAATCACCGCTGAGTGGAGCCAGCGCTGGCGGAATGGACAGCTGGGGCAAGTTCTGAACGGCGGGAACCGCAACGGATACATTTGCAGGCGTGTAGGGCAGCTGGGAGTGCGAGGTGGCCGACGAGTGCGAGTTGCTGGCAATGGACTCCAGCGAGGTGGTGCTGCTCTTGCGCTGCATTCCCGCCGACGGAATCACCGGCAGAGTGTTCATCTGGCTGTTGACCTGGGTGACATTTTGCTCGTTCGCCGGTTTTCTGCCACGCTTCTGCGGACGAGACACGGGATTTGTGTTCGCCTTACGCTTGCGCTGCTGCTTTACAGGCACACTTAGCGTGGGCGCATTCGTGACCACTCCTGCAACAGGTAAACTGGCAGCCGCCTGCTTCGGTGCCGGGCGGGCTGCATCCATTCCGGAACGCAGGTGACTGTGTTCCTTGCACAGGGCCAGTGTGTGCTTCAAATCGAAGACGGGAGCCTTGCAGGCGGTTCCATCCATTCGCCATGCCACGCAGGGCTGGAAAAGCTGCTGCGTGCCGTTGTTCACGATGTGGCGCTCACAGTGTGCCGCCATGCTAAGCGTGGGCTGCTTGCAGCTGGACACCAGGCATCGGTTGCCAATTCCACTGTAAAACAAAAAACTTGAACTATTGGAATTTAGTTAGAAAGCCAAGTTAACTTACATTCCCTGCTGCTGACCGGCATGGTCCTGGTACTTGATAAGCATGTTCTGGACGCACTGCAGCCGCTGCTTCGCCGCTCGCATGGGCAGCTCCTGCAGCGATCTAGTGGACAGCAGCTGCAATGCCTGCCGCCTCAAGACTCCTTTACGGACCGCAATCCGCTCCTCACGCCGATTGCTCTGCGACAGAGGCGAGTCCAAGGCGTGATCCTTGGAGCCAGAGTTTAGCCAGTGCTGTTGCAGGCAGTAGGGCGAGTCCTCCGGAAAGATTTCTTTCTCACTCAAAGTTGCCGAGCTGCGTTTGGAGGCGGGCTTGCGGCGACGCTGGCGATGAGCCGAATCCGCCTTGTTTAAGGCTGGCAAGGGAGTCGGTTCCTGGGGAGGCGGCATGGAAGTTGGGGGCGATTTCTTTGCTGCGATGCCGTTGTTTCTATTGTTGTTAATGCAAGTGATGCCTCTTCTGCCGCCGTTTGAAGCTGCGGACGCCTGACGAACGGCGGCATTGGTATTGGCCACTTTGGAAGACATTTGTTCAGTTTTCTTGGCTAATGCGGGTGCTGATGAGGTTGTTGTGGCTAAAACAGCTTTTGCTGCAATCTCCAGAGAGTTCGTTGAAGCTGCTGCTACCGGAAGCGGGAGCTTTGAGCTTGGGGCAGCCGGTGGAGCCAACTTGGTGCTGAGAACTGCTGGCGGCATCACTTTGAAGCTGGGTGTCAAAGCTGGAACACATGATGTGGGAATCTTCGGTTGCAAGTGCGCTAGCAATGGGGGTGCCGGCATCTCTGGCGGAGTGGGCGGCGTCAGAGGAGTCACCAGTTTCACACCCGCTCCTCGAGATTGTTGCGCTCCTGGCTCAGTTCCGACTGCGGCTCCTGAACCTCCAGCTGTAGCCGCCGCCGCTTCTCCCGCCACTGGTGGCTTTCGGAAGATAACGTTGACGGGTATCTCGTTGAGATCGCTGTCATCCACGCTGTTGCCGGTGGAATGTTTCTGTGGAGCAGCAATCTGGGGAGTCTGGACGGGAACTGCAACTGTACCCGTATTAAAAACCATCAGCGGTGGCGGCTGTGTCTGATTGTAGTTCGTGCCCTGCAACACCGGTTTATTAAGCGACTCTAACACATTGTTGTTGTTCAGCAACTTGGTGTTGTTATTGTTGTTGTTGTTGTTGTTATTTTGGCAGGCCAGCGGCAAGGTTTTCTTTTTCTTTAAGCATTCAACCTTTTGCAAATGTTGCGCCAGTGTGTTATAATGGAATTTTGATGGCGGCAAAGGTAATCCACCCTTGGGCGACACGGAGATCGGAGCCACCATGGCCGTCACTGCAGCGGTGGCGGGCGGCAGAGTGGGCGAAGGTAATGAGGCGGGCGATGTGGGCGGGCTGACCAGCGCAATGGCAACGGTTTGCTGCTGCTGTTGCTGCTGCTGCTGCTGATGTTGCTGCTGGAGAAGCTGTTGGTGTTGCTGCAAAAGGAGCTGCTGTTGATGCTGCGGAAGATGTTGCTGGTGCTGCTGGAGAAGTTGCTGCTGCTGCTGTAGTTGTTGTTGCTGCAGAAGATGTTGCTGCTGCTGTTGGAGCAACTGTTGCTGGACATGTTGCTGCTTCTGCGATTGCTGCAGCTGCTGCTGCTGCTTCTGCTGTGGTTGCTGCTGGTGCTGCTGCGGTTGCTTCTGGATGTTTTCCAGCAGCAACGGCGTCTGCCACAGCGACGGAGTGTGAGCGTAGAGCGGGGGCGGTGCTGCCGGCGGCTGGCAGGACTCCGAGTTGGCTACTTTGTCCTGCTGCTGCTGCTGCGGGCGTACAATACACACGTTGGTGGCCCGTTTCGGCGAGGGCTGCGATTGCGACTGGGATTGCAGCGGCAACTGCAACTGCAACGCGGGCGACAATGCTGACTGTCTCTGAGATTGCGTGACATGATGGAAATTCGTTGTGGTTGTGTTCCAGAAAGACGCCTGCGCCTTTGCCTCCAGATTCGCATTTCTGCTGGCCGCAGCTGTTGCTGCCGTCTGCCTCTTGTTGCTGCCTCTATTGCTGTCGCTTAGGCGGGCTCTCGGTTTCTGCAAAAGGTAAACAAAACAATTGTGTTAAAAGGGGGTTGATGAAGCATTGTTGCATAAATGCAACCAATTATAAAAGGCTGTATAAAAGCGTGTTTTCTCATGAACCTGTTTATTTTCAAGTTCAGGTTCTCAAATTAATACCAATCGTTCTTGCAATTTCAATTTCAAAATTTGTTTGCAATATAATTAGCATAACTTTGACAATTATTAAAATTATTGTGAAAGACTCATAAATAACAAGTTTTTGAAGTACAATAGGAAAAGATGTGATGAATTTTTGACTATAGGAATTATAATATTCAAGCTTATATTTTTATTTTATTTAAAGTAATTTTAAAAACTTAGATGGTGAATGCCTTACCTGTGCTTTGAATAAAACGGGCGGAAGGACGGCCACAGTCTCTGTGAAGGCATAGGGATCCGAGTCCTCGGACGTCGTCTTGCCGGCAATACTCTCCACTGGCGTCAGCGTTGCTGCTGTTGTGGCCGCTGCTGTGGCTGTTGCTATGGTTATTGCTGTTGCTGCTGCAGTAGCTGTTGCTGTTGCTGATGCAGTTGCAGTTGTGGCAATCCTCCTGGTGGCTGTGCTCTTGGCTAATGTGGCTGTTGCGGTGGCTGAATGGAATTTGGAGGCTTGCTGACATGACATGTCCAATGTGAAGCCGTTGCCGCTTTTGTTTCCTTTTCTTTCGGCACTTCCTGCTGCTGCTGCTCGTGTTCTTTTGTTGTGTTATCTGTTTCGGCTCTTGTTACGTTACTTGACCTGCAATTTAGACACAAAAAAATCAATAAGTTTAAAGTTCAAAAGGAATACGTCATAAATGGGCGTTGTCACGTGCTCTCAGCCAAAATGCATTCGCACATACCATACACACACACACACATGCACTGGCGCTCTCTCCCTTTCACACAAACGAATGCCATAATAAAAACAAACTACAATCAAAATAAATAAATCTGCTCGCCGAATAACCAGTTCAAGTGAATCGTTCGTTGCTTTCTTTCCGCTTCGCTTCTGCCTCCTCTTTCTCCGCCCCTTTCTCCGCCTCTTTCTCCGCTCCTCTCTTCTCCTCTGTTTTTTTATTTTGTGCTTTGGGTGCCGCTTGGCACCGCCGTCGTTAATAACAAATACAAATGCTGATAGCGCAGCAAAATCGCAATAATTAAAAATAATAAACCAAGACAAACAATCGCATGAAAACAATTGCGTCTAAAATTATAGCACTTTACTTTCAAGGTTTAAACTTAAACGCATTAATTGTTTATTATTTTCTCTCACACTAAATTGGTGTAAACTTATGTACATAAATAAGCAATATTGTTTTTTTTTTATAACCATATTTCTACATTAAAATTAAGTCAAACATTTATAACATGTAAAAAATAAACAATAAACAAATAAATTCACTTCGATTTATGTAGGTATACAAAATACATTGTCAATTTACCAACACAGCATTGCACTTTTAATAAATATTTTCTATGTAAATCAAATATTTAATAACAAGGAAACCATTGATTTCATTTTGTGATTTTTAACTTAAATTCAGAATATTATAAATGCAGACATCGATTTCAACGCTATTTTCTTGACCACAACTGTTCGCTAACCAAGCGATTGAAAAAAAATTCACACAAATTTGCATGCTAAGCAAATCAAAGAAGCACGTTTGTGTACACAAATGTATGGAAAACGAAACAAAAACAACTGCGTAGGAATACTATAATCTTATTGAGCTAAGCGAAACAACAATTATTGGGGCAGAGAAAGAAAACAGAGACGGCGAAAGAAAAAAACCGGACGAGAAGAGCAACAAGATAAGCGCAAATCGGGGGCGAATTGCTGGACTTTCCAGCGAATCGGGGAAGAAATGGAGAAATGCTCAAAGAATGATTCGGTACAATTATACACAATACCATATATAGAGAAATATGACGGGGAAATATGACATTGTTTTCAGCTTTTGATTAGTTTCGCACGTATTGATTTCCATTCCGGCCGGGAACGCAAGCATTTTATGATTACAATATGTACATATGTACATATGTGTACATAAGTCTGGGGAGAACAAGTTATCCAACTTATAGCTGCGAGTGGAATGCTTCTTTGTTTGTTTATGCTTTCTTTACGTTTTCCGAGAAAGAAGGAAATGACTTTGAAAGCATTTGCCAGTTCCCTTCGCCCCACAAATCCCCCCTTTTCACGGTTCCACACCCACTAACGCATTCACCACGGCTCCTTGGCTATTCGTGTATTTGTGAGTGCAGGAGTGTACGTGACACTTTTGTTTATGTTTCTTATTTTTACTTATTCATCCGTCGAACGGTGGGAAGACATTGAAAGATCTTTAAGGCTAAAACCCAGTGAATACACTTCGAGCATTACTGAAGCCACTCCAGTCTAAACCTTCGAAAACATTAAGAATTTATGTATGTTGTTTCCCCTTGGATAACCTTTGGTCGTCACTGTGGCCATATGAGGCTTAAAAATTTGCGATTACATTGAACTTACTTAAGTATACAACAATATCAAATGTCTTAATAATTTCAAACTGGTTAACAACTCGGACATAATCTACTTTTTAAGAATATAATGTATTTCAAATATAATGTATTTCTATAACGATTTATTTATCGGTATGTAAAATAGTATCAAATTAGATATTTTAATGTTAAGATACGCTTCAAAATATTCTTTTCAATTTATCATATCGACATTTTCCTCACGATACACCTCAATAACACCAAGAAGTAAAGGTTTTTGATCTCAAGCCCGCAGACGAATACGAAGTCCAAGATTTTAGCGTACAAACAAAAGAGAGAGGGAGAAGGAGGAAACCGCACAAAAGCGAACTGTCGATAATTGCAAATAATGACGATGCTGGGAATTTGTTATTGTTTGCTTTTGTTGTTCTTTCAAGCGATCTCCACCAAGCAAGTCGTTGGTTTTTGGCCATTTTAGGTCTTAAATGCTAACTCGTTTTTTTGGTCCAACTTGGAAACACGCTCGAATGATAAGAAGCGGAGACAAGAAACGAGAAACAAGAAAAGCCAAAGAACGCCGAGACAAAAGAAGTCAAAGCTGCAGAGACAAGCCATCGAACCTGAACAAAAAGTACAAGACAAGCGGGTAGAAACCTTACAAATCGCCGCTGGATGCTGAAAAAAAAACTGAGATCAGTGATCTTTGGAATCTTAATTCTAAATGTCTAAACTTTATATTGAAGGAAGAGCGGCTGGGAAATGAAACAAAAGATGTCAGACTAAATGGAATCATGAAATCAAATGTCACTCAGAATTATTACTTTATATTGCAACGTTAATAAAACATTTTTCAAAAGACGAAACTACATTCCAATTCTAGAAGTGAAACTAAGAAAAATTAAATCAAACATTTTATTTTAGACTATGCCTTTGATGTCTTTGATAGTGATTCGACATTCAATCTTAAAACGAAATAGAAAGGAATAATAAATAGGGGAAAACTACTGAAATCACAGCAAATCAATATTGATTTTCTATATTTGGAATTGCTATGATACGAGTATATACTTTGGTGTTTATAGAAAACTGTGAAAAGTGCGCAGTACTTCAACTTTAATTATCATCGAAGCCAACATGTTCTCAAACCCCCATGTGGTTTTAAATTGGTGGTTGAACACAGAGCAAAAACTCATCCTAATTAATCTTAACTATAAGTGAAAAGCTCTTAGTTAAAGTAAAAATGGTTGCGAATTATTAGTAAACATTGTGTAACATTAATGTTTAATCATCAGCGCATATAAAAAGTATAAATTCCGGCGATGGATCCGATAAATAATTTTAAAATAACGTCAAATGTCCGTACAATGTTCCTGAATTAGTAAACTTTAAATTTGAACAACCAGTTTAAAATAAAGAATGATGAAAGTAGTACGTGAGTCATTCTTAACTTTAGATTTCTTCACTATAGACTTTAAATTAAATGACGACTGGCTTACTGATTGAATACTTGATTTGGAACGCATATGCAATGGAATAATAGATAATGTTCATCGATTTTCAAGGCGATTAGCCTGCTGCTACTCTAACATTAATAGAAAATTTAGAGACACCTTTTGGCAGAACTGCTGAGAACGAAGAAAACCCGCGGGGAAAACGCATGGCGTGGAACACGAAGGTTGTTGGCTCGAGAAACCGTGCTCAAAGGTCCGCTGGTTAAGCGAGCTACGGATAGATGGATGGGTCGGTTCGGTTTGGCCAGGTAAGCGACCAGGTAAGCAGATAGGCGGGCAGGCAGGCAGAAAGCCGGTCGAGAGGTTAATTACGAGAGCAAAGCGTTTCCAGGCGTTACGCTCACTGAGCTACAGAGGCATGAAAACACCAAAACTGGAATACATACGAGTACGACTACCAGTTGAATGGTGTTCAACATGCTGGTAGAAAATAATTTGCAACACATTTGTAAATACCAGTCCCTAACACCCCATTCTTCTAGTTTTTATCGTAAACATTGTAGCTCTTTAAAAATGTTTCTCAATATTACACAGGTTTTAAGGAAGTAAGGTGTTTTACAATAGATGTGTTACAACATTATAGTAATATATTATAGTATAAACATTATGCATAATATATCCTCGAAAGGTCTATAAAATTATAACTATTTTTTTTTTTTTTACATTGATAGTTCTAACTAATTACATTACATTAGGAAATAAAATATTATAGTTTTAATCATTTTTTACATCAAAACATGACGATCCAGTATCATTTTAACATGACATGAGAATGATTCAGAATCAAGTTGATAAGAGTGATATTCATAACGTAAACAAGAAATGTTTAAAAATAGAGATGATTGACTTGTGTTTTCATTACTTCGACGATAAGCGTGAGATATGATTCCTATATTTTCGGCGCGCTTTCATGCTATTTGCAGACTCGTCGACATTGACGCACAGCAGAAATTGCATTTAAATGCACATTACAGCGCGATTGCGAGTGCAGGAAAGAGGCAGAAAGGCCGGACCCGAACCCGTTTGCTGCTTCCTTCATAACCGGAAACTGAAGGCTAAATTGTGCAAAGCAAAAAAAAGCGCAAAAACAGAAAAAAGAAAAAAAAAAACTTAATATAATGACGAGGGGCTGAACCACCGCAAAGGCAGCTGGAGATTCAGATGGAGAGGTAAAAGCCAAGAGCCAAAAGAGCCAGACATGCGGTTCAGTTTATTCAGCCAACCAGCCAGCGAAGCCAAACGAACTCCATCTGCAGCCCCACTTGGCCACTTTTACATCGCACGTAGGCCCGTCCACTTCCCACAGGGGCTCTGCCTCCAGAGCACAGCCACAGTGGACTCTGGCTAGGGAAACCTTGGGAGTGCTGCCAAAATGTGCCATAAAACAGGGAACATTTATCTTGCTCTTTTTGGCCCCAAACAAACTCAAATCGTGAGTCATGGGTATTATTTGGGTTTTACATTCACAGATTTTGTGTCTCACTTTTCTTAACGATTTCACGACAAAAAACCAATAAACATTAATGGGTTTTTAAATGTTAAATAAACTTTCAAAATATGATTCACTGATTTATTCAAATTAATATTGACTTTGATTTTGCGATTTTAAAACTCTGGCGGGCAGGCGGTATTTAATTAAAGAGTTAAAGCTTTTTGCGACTGGTTTTGAAACCTTGTCGAGTGAATATAATTTTTAACAGATTTAAATTTAATTCCAAAATAAATAAAATCGTTTAAGGAACGTTTTCTTATCTTCATGTGGCGATAAAACCACCCATATTGCAGACAAAGTTAGCTTTTATCTTAACCAAAAATAATATGAAAAAGGGCATAAAAATAATTTTCTGATGGCCATCTAAGCTGTTCACTTTATACATTTTTAATTAAATTATTAAATCATTTTCTTTTACTTAAATCATTTTAGTACCCAAGATTTGTTTGTAAGGTTTGTAAATTTGTATAAATAAGTTCCTTTAACCTTGAAATTTAAAGTTAATATTTTTTTCTTGGGCAACCACAGACAAAATTTGTTTAACGATTATCTTTTTAACTGTCTATAATTATGAGGCGAATTAAGTAAAAACAAAATAAAACATCCGAGGTGTAGATCACTATTTCGTTTTTTATTTGAAGTGTATGAAATTCTGGGGTTTAGGTTGTTTTTTGTCGTTGTTTTTGTTGTTAGTGAGCGGCAGCTGTTGTTGGTATGGAAAGCACACACATCTGTTCCGTTAAAGCCAATTAAACGATTGTCTCGGTTTCTCAGACTTTTTTCAGCACTTTGGAACATTTTTGGCAATATAAACACACTCACACATGCATTCGAGGATTAGGAGTGAACGGAGGGAGGTGTCACCGATAAACAAATCACAAAACTAAACAAAACAAATTACGAATTCCGTGTAAATGAACTTTTGGTGGGGAGCGCGTTTGGAATTTCTTTTAGCGTTTTGTTTGTCATCCGCTTTGTGGGTGTGTTTATGTGAGGGGAGGGCACTCGAGAATCGTTGTTGCCGGCGTTTTTATGATTTCTCTTGTTCTCCTTCCGCTCTTTTTCTTTTTTTCCAGCCAGTCGCCCTCGCCCTTTTTTCTGATTCTCTTTTGCGACTTCTTCGCTTCCTTCCCCCACAGCCCCCACACAACACATACACTTGCGTTTCGAGTTGCACATGCAGGGTCGTTTGGATTTTAACTGCCCTTTGATTTTTGGCATTTAATCATTTTCGGCTTTGGCAGATTTTCCGTTTCTTTGCTTTGACGATTTTTGATGCAAAACAAGAATGCGTCACGGGCTCACACACACACACACTCACTCAGGCACATGCACAGTGGGGCCAAAAAACGAGAGCGACGAGAGCGAACAAATTTACCCAACCGTCTGATGACGATTCAAACGTCAAAGTGGCGCCGCGCAACGTACTTGGTTTTTGTTGTTTGAGTACCCTTCCCATGGTCAGGGTTGTCATCTCACCTCGAATCAGAAAACGGGCCAAATAAAATTGCGTTTCGAAACAGAAAAATTACGTTGACCTCGTACATAACAAAAAGCACGGATTCGCACTTATTTAAGCAAAACTTAACCGGTTTGACATTAAAATAAGCTCTTTTCAACACATTTTTTCAGGCTTCTCGGCAACCCTGGCCTGCCTCTCACACATACACACACTATTACGCCACCACAGACCTGGGAATTTTTTGCTGCAAAAAATTTTTCTTCGCACCAACAATTCCACTTTCAAATGCAATTTTCACCCCTTTATCTTGGCGCTGCGTACTTAACGCGAACTCCTGGCTGTGGGCAAATGTGTACTGCAGCACTTTCTGGTGTTTCAATTAAGCATAAAACGCGTTTTATGATTAAAATTGTAATTTTTCGTTGCAGTCGGGCTGAGAGAACACGGGCTGACAAGATGGCGGACAGCTCTGTGCGCTCTCCACACCAATACAGGCGCTCCCACTCACGCACACACGGTCACTCGGAACCAGTACCTGGGTGTGTTTGTACGTGGCGTTGCCAGACTGCCGGATAAGAGGAATGTACCGCGCACTCGTTGTGTACCTAATTTACTGGTTATTTGAATTTGATACGACTGATAAGAAATGGAAAATAGTTTTGATGAGATAACGCATTTTATGATCGCTTGGTGCTGGAATTTGACGTAATAACATGTAAATTTGTTCAGATTTCTTGTTACAAATGCTTAAACTTAAAAAACTTATAAATTATCAGTTACGCAAAACAATAAGATATTTAAAGTACTTTAAAATGGCTAATCTTTGTTAGCGAATTAAGTAAAAAATCTTCTCTCTAGCAATGAAACATTCATTTATGTACATGATTGCAAATTTTTTCAGCAAACATATCATAAATCGTAAACAAAATTTTCGAATAGTAGATTTGTGTTTATATTTTAATATTTGTTCGGATTCTTGATTTTCAATAGATACCTTTTTTATATATGTAGTGAGGGTATTTATATATCATTTAAATGTATTCAACATTTCCGATCTTCAATCTAAAATTGTGATAAAAATTAAAACACCATAGTTAAGAATAGAAAACAGAAAAAAGATTTCGAAGAGTTTTGATTCAAGTCATAAAAGTATAAAGTTTTAAAATGTAAATAATTATTTGCTGGTGTTCAGGGGGTTAAAAAGCTCTACCAAGCACCCGGTTGCACAACTACGATTATGTTATCAGGGGGTTCCGAAAGCGACTCACTCTCTGGTAATTCACAGGCCGAACTTAGTGTTAGTCTCAGTCGCGATCTCAGTCTCAGTCCTACTCGATCCGCTGCTCGTCTGAAATCGCAGCGGCTTTAGGCTGTATCGTATCTGATCGATCCGGTCCGGCATGGGAAGTTTCCCAGCTCTACTTGTTGTTGTCGGCTCGCTGGCATTGGGCGCGAATGGTGAGTGCACGGAATACGGAATCGTAAACAAGTCTGGCAGTGAACTTAACGCGGCCCGATCTCCGTTCTTCCAGCTCAACTCCCCCTGAATTGTGTGTCGAAAGTCCCGAGTGGCCGGGTCACCGGTCACTGCATTTCGATCCGGGACTGTGACTTCTTTATGCGGATCCTGGTCTCCAGCAATCTGACCCAAAACGATCGCAGTCTGCTCCGCGAGAATCAGTGCGGGTTGCGGGGCAGCGACGTTCAGGTGGGTGATTCACCGGAAAGATACCGAATTAAACTCGAATCGAAACCATAACTCGATCCATTAAGCGCAACAAATAACAAGCTCGATAACTCAGGCCTGTCCTGTTTTTACTTTCACTGATAGTGCGTAATATTCAGATTTCTTTTGAAAAGTAGAGATTAAAACAAGCAACAAGTAATATAAATAGGTAGGAAAATGTTTAAAAAAATCTTTAGTCGGTGAGATTAGGATTAAACATGGTCTATTTATATAGTCTTTATATTATTTATATCAAAAAAACTTGATTTCAAAGGTCGTTTCCAGTTTTCACTTTTCTGTATAATTGATAATTTTGGTTTTTATAAAACTAGAGATAATAGGAAAAGCTTTTATTATTTGTTTATCGTTATCAGTTGAAACTTATCAGTTTACATTTTTGGAATTGCTTAGATTTAAAAATAAATTGCGATAATAACAGAAATTTAGTATTTTACGAGAACTTAACTTATGAGTTTCTAAAGTTGGATTTGTTTATAAAATCTAAAAACCATATAAAGAAATCTGGGAATTTTTAAATTTAAAGTTATTCATATTTAAAAAAAATAGTTTATGTTCTAAAATATTGAGGACTGGTTTTTGGAACATTATTTTAGAATCTGTTTTTTAACCAAAGTTGGAGTTACCTTATTTTATAATCCCATCTGTGTTATTTGGTTTCTATACAGATTGAAACAAATTTTTTTGTTTTAGAATGTGTTAAGTCTAATTTAAACCTGTTTTAATTCGCTAGGTCTGCTGCCCCAGCACCGCCGGTTTGGGAGCCTTGACCCACCCACTGCTGCCCAAGGATTGTGGATCGGTTCGCTGGCAGCGTTCGAATGACACGGAGACGCGGATCAGGGAGTTTCCCTGGCTGGCCCTTATCGAGTACACCCGGGGTGAGTTTGAGGCTTTTCAGTGATAGGCCAAGTAAATCACCTCCTGCCATTCCGCCTCCAGGCAATCAAGAGAAGATCCATGCCTGCGGTGGCGTGCTTATCAGCGATCGCTATGTGTTAACTGCTGCCCACTGTGTGGCGCAGGCGGCGGCCAGCAATCTGCAGATCACAGCGGTTCGCCTGGGCGAATGGGACACCAGCACGAATCCGGACTGCCAGTTCCACAAGGACACCCAGGTGGCGGACTGTGCCCCGGCCTATCAGGACATAGCCGTGGAGGAGTTGCTGCCCCATCCGCGGTACAGCCGAACCGACAGGACGCAGGTCAACGACATCGCCCTCGTCCGTTTGGCAAGTCCTGCGCAACTGAACGACTTTGTGTTGCCCATTTGCCTGCCCAACAAACAGCTGCGGGCGGACGAACTGGAGGGTCTGGTCACCGAAGTGGCCGGCTGGCAAGCCCTGACCTCGCCGCGCATGCGCAAAAGCTATGTGACCATCAGCTCCATCGAGGAGTGCCAGCGGAAGTACGCCGGCCAGCAGTTGGGCATCCAGGCCTCCCAGCTCTGCGGGTTGGCTAACTCCAAGGAGTGCCACGGCAACGCCGGCGGACCCCTGATGCTCTTCAAAAACGACGGCTACCTGCTGGGCGGACTGGTGTCCTTCGGACCAGTGCCCTGCCCCAATCCCGACTGGCCGGACGTGTACACGCGGGTGGCCTCCTACATCGATTGGATTCACGACAGCCTGAGGGCCTAGAATTGGTCTTGTTGTTGAAAATATTGTCAGTAGATGTGTGGTGCCAAAAAATTGCATATTATTGACCCATTACAGAGTTTGAAACTCTTTAGTTTCATTTCAACGATTTAAGGCCCAATTCTATTGCAACATAATTTACAATGTGGGTGAAATATTATATACATATATTAAAAAGAATTGTTTTGAATTTTAAATTAAACAAGATAAAAAGCAAACTTTTGCAAGCCGAAGTAACTGCAATTGTTCTTTTTAATAAAAACGTTGTTGTTTACTTTTATTTAATTAAGTTGAAAATATTTCTTGCAGATCGAAGTTAATTTTTGGTTTGTATTTGGTATTTAGCAAAGACATACACCGCAGTTAGCAAAGACACCATAGAGATGGAAAAACATTGATATTAGCGATGTTTTGAAATCGATGTTTTACCACCTCTATCGCACTGAGAACTGGGAAAATGGAAAACACAAGATAAAACGTGAGCCCTTCTGGTCGAAATTGCGTGGAAACAATCTGGTATCTGGTAAAAAGGGACGACAGGCGAGAGCGACAGGATGCCGGGCAAGGTGGGGGTGAAGATTAAGGCGGCGCGCAACCTGCCGGTGATGGACAAATCGAGTGAGACGACGGACGCATTCGTGGAGATCAAACTGGCCTCGGTGACCCACAAAACAGATGTGTTCCGCAAGAGCTTGAATCCCACCTGGAACACCGATTGGTAAGGACTCCAACTGATTCCCCATGTGCATGATTTAATAAGCCCTGATTGCGGACAGGTTCCGCTTCGAAGTGGACGATGCTGAGCTCCAGGACGAGCCGCTGCAAATCCGACTAATGGACTACGACACTTACTCCGCCAACGATGCCATCGGCAAGGTCAACATCAGCCTGAATCCCTTGTGCCTGGAGAGCTCTAGTCAGGCGGCGCACGGCAAGGGCACCGTGCTCTCCGGCTGGATTCCGGTCTTCGACACGATGCACGGCATCCGCGGCGAGATCAACGTGATCGTCAAGGTGGATCTCTTCTCGGACGTCAACAAGTTCCGGCAGAGCTCCTGCGGCATACCCTTCTTCCACTGTTTGTAGACCTTTTAATTTACTAGATCCAGTTTTCACTTATAATACTGTGAATTTGTGAATCCCGGATCTGGCCACTATGTTCTACCAAGGGGGTATCTAACCATTTGTTTTTTCATTACACAGCCCAATGTGTGCCATTTGGCTACCGCGCCCAGGTGATTCACGGCTTTGTCGAAGAGCTGGTGATCAACGATGATCCGGAGTACCAGTGGATAGACAAAATACGCACGCCTCGTGCCTCCAACGAGGCCCGACAGGTGGTATTCCTCAAGTTGTCGGGCCAGGTGCAGCGAAGAATGGGCCTGAAGGCCATCAATATGGGCGCTAATGCCGTCATCGGCTATACCCAGTGTTTCGATCTGGAGGGAGATGTGGGCGTGGTGGCCCGAGGCATTGGCACCGCCGTCACGCTGATCAAGGACACCAGCACCAGTCAGCCAAACAGCGCGGACGTTGCCCTCATCGAAGAGTGAGTATTTTATGGAAATAGGGGCGAAAATTTCATACTGGTCTAATGACTCATAAGTTTTGGCTTATTAAGCGAGTGTCCATAGTTTTGCAGATAACTTGTCATGTTCTGTCTGTCTGTATTACAAGTATTATATAATTTTGTCAAAGTTCGGTCTACACACAACAAGTTCGGTTCAACAACATTTATTTTAAGATTAAAGTTTTGCAAGACTATTTCAAACTTCGGTTCCCGAAGCCAACCTCTTCTTTCTTGTACAAAGCCTTGGAACTCCATCCGTAGCCAACTGTAGGTGCTAGTAGAAAGCCTATTTAAACATCTTCTAAAGCAATTTCTTTCTTCTCTTGAACGTTCTCCAACCCACACCGAAATCTCCGACGATGTTCATCCCTCGAAACCTCTTCCTTACTTGTCGTATCGTATTGCACGTTCCAATCGTTCTCGTTGTTGTTTCGTTGTTGTGTCGTGTTTGTGTTTATAAAACATTTACGTACCAC